GTTTCCCTTGGCCTGCCTGACCCCGAATCTGTCTGGTTTTGGGATAGTGGGGAAATACTCGAGCGTTGGTGGCGGTGGTTTCGCATTTGAATATTGATTGTGAAAGACACTAGAGCCAGAAACTAAGACACATATAACGAGAAACAGCTCTTGTCTACTTTGGATGCCAAACTACTGGGTAAGGATCTGAGTTGGTATGGGAAGCCCAGTCTCGACAATGCATCTTGCTTTTGAAATTGACTCTGCAATGCGACAGGCAATCTACTCTCACGAATCAAGTGTGGGGGAAAGAGTGAAAGGAAAACAATGCCCAAACGTTGGTACAGTCAGTCTCAGCCATTGGCACTAGCTTCGTCAAGGAACTTTCAAAGGTTTCATCTCAGTTGAGGGTCCTTCTGCGATTAAGTTTGATATTAGCTTTACACGGGAGCTCTTTTAGCTGCCGCCTGCAGTTGCAGTCCCATCCGCACCTGCCCGCAATGCCAGCACATCACAGCGCAGCACAGACTCTGATGGAAGGTTACCCGGCCGCGGCAAGTATGGATTTGGAAGGCACTCCATGGAGCAGCCAATCTTGTTTCCCAAACAGACTCAATGATGACCTCAATCACGGCGCTTGCCTTGATAGCCGCACAAGTACAGTTACATAGCACGTGCACAAGCGCGTTTAGTTGTTGGTTCTAGCAACCTCATTTCAACTTCATCTCACGAACCAACACATCAAAAAAATCATGCCGTTTCAAGATGACATCACTTTACATCCGGACGAACCCACCACTGCCTCAACATTTCGATGATTCTTTCATATGCGTATGGCTTCAGCTGTGTTCTACTCAGTACTGAATTTCTACCAAGGCGACAGGGGCTTCGCCCAGCGCTCGTTGACTGAGCACTGCAAACATTGGCTCTCATCAACATCAGCATTGATGGCTATATGAGATTTGATTCTCGTTCTACTTAACTGGCCATGTCGTGGATCAAGCAGTCCGATCCATATATTGAATCTAACATGGGGCGTCCCGTCGGCCTATGTCTAGTCTCCTTGTTTACCTTGCTAATAACCACCCCACCCAATTCTTCACATATTTCAAACGCGTCCAATGGGCTGTGGACAACAAGGCTTCCAGTCATCAAGCCACCTTGTGCACACTACAGCAAGCTTGGTATCAACTCGGAAAGTATAACTAATAGCTCACTGCGGGTTGGTTGGCAATCCTTCCCTTTAGTTTGTTACCAGGCATGCTTGCGACCTAGCCTTTATGGATCATGTCCATACACACCACCCTACCAACGGTTGAAGTCCGAAGATCACGGTTTACTACCAGTTTGCACAACATGTGCAGTATCTGTACTAGTTTGCGAGTCCAGAATCATACCCACGCACCGCCGCCACCTTGAACCGGCATGCGCCATTGAACCAATTATAGCGCCAGTGACCGCCTGGTTCTTTTACTCTGAACATCGAGATTAGGCATCTCGCTTAACGAATGGCGCTTCAGCTTGCCATGGCTGATATGCAAGCCGGTTTCAAGATAAGAAACCACAGTGCAAGCATCAGGTCGATTGTATATGAATTGAATTCTTTCAGGCGACAAGGTGGCCTAGCAGATGACACTTTCCATGACCAAATAACCGGGACACGATAGGACAATAGAAGGTGCCCATGAGGCACTCACCTCAAGATTTTTTGAATGTTGCTTCTTCCATCTTGCGGGACCTTTCAAGCCCCTCGTGAGACATCCGGATGCTTCTTCTTATGAACCTGTTATTTGGGCGTCAATTGGGTATCATGGCAGAGCATATCGAATAGCTCAAGTGCCGAGACCATAGTTCACTTTGATGTGTGGGCAAATGTCTCAGTTTCTTCCCCATCTGAGACAACTAGCACAGAACATCTGGTTTGGGTAGGTTTTGGCAAATGGTTGCATGTTAGCATCACATTGGCGAATTAGGTCACATGCTTGGAACCCAGTCGACGACGGCCAACACTAGGGTAAGCATGCAAGACCACAACAGGATTAGCCTGTATGATCAAAGGCGAGCTACTTGATTGTTGGTATAGCACGTTAAAGTTATCTTCGGCCTCCAACGTCGGTCAATGTCCTTACACCTTAGCCATCAGGAACCCAATCTGTTTCCAGTGGAAATGTTGAACATCAGTGAGCAGGCCTAAGACTGACGGCCTATGACGGGTGGCTTGGAATGCTCAACACGCTGAGTAGCATTTGGATATGGCAAGATCCTGTCTCATGTACCGGCTAGCCAGTCCAGTGTGCTTCCATTATCCCTCTCATGGCCACTCATGCATGTTCAAAGGCAGCCTGGAGATCACCCATGGCTATACCATGGCCAGCCCGTTGCCGCCGGCAAAAAGCCATGTTCGTTGTCACACATTCTCCACTGTAAGACTGCCGGGAGTCTTAGGTGGTCCTTGTCACCATCAGTATTCGGACTGTGGCCCAATGTGCACCCATCAGTCGCATCGTCGAAATGGCTTACTGTCACACGCATCTCTTCGCCATCACGACACCATGGAAGCTCACTATGTGTGTTACACAAACATACATGGATAGTGACAAACAAAGAGCGGATCGATATTTGTGGACCAATGCAGCCGGAACGAACGCTTTGGGTCTACACGATAAGGTTGCTCGATTTTCCAATTTCTAGGTACTAATGTTTGTGCTGCTCAGGTATCCCCTGTCTCTAGGATTCATGGCTTGGCATAAGGTCCAGGGAAGAAGACCCTGACGGTCCAGGTCCAGGTCCAGGTCCAAGAACGGCCCAGGCGGCGGCACAAACACAGCGGATACGCAACTCCCGCAGGTCCTAAAAAATTCAGTCGATAGGCCATACAGATGCGACTAGTCACGGCGAGTAAGGCCGACTATTGTCTTGTGTGCTGTTCCCCTCATAGCCCGGCCCCCACACAAACACACGCACAAGGCAAACGGGCATGGGGTATCCAATAGCATACGTAACTCATCATATCTCAGTTTCTGAAGGTCTGACGCTGGTTTCTGCACCACAGATACTATCAGTCGCATTGACGAAATGCAGACGGGACGGGAGACCTGGGTGAGCAACTTGTCTGTGGATTACGCTGCGGGGAAATGGCCGCAATTTACTGACATGTCGAGCTACAAAATGCTTCAATGTTGGCCCATAGTTCTGCGCTGTAACCCATACAAACGTGGGCAGGGAGCTACATGCACAGGATGACAGCACAACACCGCATAGCACAGTACGATACGGTACTGAATGCACGGAAATCCGCCATTAGTTACACGCCAAGCCCCTCTTTGGTCTCTTTCGCTGTCTCGTCGACTGGACCCTCCAAGGTAGCTACGGACAAAATTACAGATGAGTACTTAGTCGCTGCGAGGCCTTGGAAGAACAGATGGTGGTGTTACTGGCCGCGCCACCCCGGCAAAGCTCAACATGAGTTGCTGTAGTAGAACGGTTACGGAGTACGGCACATGGAAGAAAACAGGCAGTTGACCAGAGACCGGCAGTAGGATACTGTGACCTCAGTTGGCCATACGGGACACCCCTGCGTGGTTTATGCAGAAACCAGCTCCTGTTGGTACCACCACCGCTGATCCTGTAGTTCAGACCCGTTGCCGATTGGCGTTGATGCAGTATGGATTTCTAGAAACGAAGGAGATCAAGAAATGGAGTGAGACCTTCACCCACCGTATTGGGACTGGTAGTGCGAAACGGAGGATTTATTCAGCCAACTATAGACAGTGCCTGGCGACAAGGCAACGATTAGTACCAATGGCTTGGAGCACAGATGCTATCCTCTCACCCGCCGCTTTGCTGCATGAAGTTTGATACGCAAATGGGAACTGCATTGAGGGAAGAGAAATGAGGAAACCCGTCTGGTGACGATGAAGGCAAGAGATCCAAGTGAGGACCCTCAAGGTCGAGCCCAGATGACCATCCTAGAGCCAAACACCCCCGTCATGGACGAGAACTAATTGCTCATAAGAAGCCGGAGGTCCCGTCCCGCTCAATACTTGGAAGTGAGCACTGTTACTGCAATCAAGTCACTCGTTCGTTCATCTCAGCCCTACAAAACTACAGCCCGTCCCCCTTTCCAAAATTGCCATTGAGGCCAATATCATCTGCACAGGAGTTAAATCTTTTACTTTGGAAGCAATTCTTGAACTTTCACCAACTGTCCGGGGAATTCAACCAAGTATCCCACCCAACTCTATCCTCTGGAGCAACTTATCATTAACAGCCTCGCCAGCCACCGCAAGGCCATATCAACTCGTCCACGAACCCCAATGGATCATCAGGAGGTATCTCGTCGACCAAACACCAACCTGAAAGTCGGCGCCAGCTCGTCAGAACTTGTCGACCAAGCCGACCCACTGTGCGAACACAGTTCTGTTCATAATTGTGCGAATCTGAGTAAGGACGGAAGTGGGCTTTGCATCATGTGCAAGGCTTCGCAATGCGGTTGAGGAAACCTTTTGTCGACCTTGGCTGGCCATCGTGTAGATCCCTGGTGATGTTGAGCCATTCTTACAGGACCCCAGGTCTTGTCTTAGCGCTCAGAATCGATCGAACAAGGCAACCTTCAGAGGACATCTGGAGATAGGCTTGTAACCGACGCGATGGTTCGGATCATGCGGTATGGGAGACTGGTAGGGGTCTGCCTGCAGATACGCACACACACTCACGCAATCATGTAAGACATCCGTCTGTCTTGATGAAGGAACCTAGCTAGACATGGCTGTGGTTCCCACGTGCTGGGGCGTAACATTGGCAGGGTTCATTGGAGAATCGGAAATCATAATGCGGGAGGGGTGAGGCTGATGGGCTTGTAAGACAAGGCACAGACGTATATGAACCTGGGCCAGTGAGAAATCTCGATTTGACGACAGAGAGTGGATGAAATTGGGGTCCTGTTTTTTTCCTTATACAGCCAAATCAGCATATAGCAAGAGATAGCCTACGATTTGCACGTCTACCACGGCGGAATCTACCTATCGACCCGTAATATGGCCGTGATCTTCAGGATGTGATGCGGTAGTGTAATTGATATCTATTAGTTTATTGTTTAGCCGCCGTGTCCAACTTAGATGCCACTACTCCCGTACTAAAGCCACCTAGGATCTCATTAAGCGCTGTCAATCGACCACTGAATATGATGCAAAGCTCCAGATCCGCCTGTGCTAGTTGTGGGATCACGAGGCTAGAGGAGATAGCGAAATGACACGCAGCCTTCACAGAGAGGGCCAAGAGACTAGACGCCCCATGAGGTGACATGTGTTTTGTCTGAGTGGCTCTCTTATTCGTAGTCAAGAGAAAAATAAGTGAGGATCGGTCACCAGTGACAGATACGATTCATGCCACACTCATCAGGGGGTCATTCATGGCATCTGCAACTCGCCCCCTCGCCCGGCATGATGCTGTACTGTGCTATGTAAGACCGAAGACGCGGAGATCGATGGACGAAGCAGGTTAATATCGGGATCCGAAATAGACAATATATACGACATGCATATTCTCAAAAGGACCGTGGTGCTTACGCCGTAACGTATCTCATAGCCTGGAAGCAAGTGCTACTATCCCCATCCCATTCCCTCCCAGATCCAAACCGTCAATGTCGTGATTGGACTGAGAACGAAATACTGAGACTATTCGTGAGTCTAAGCCTCATAAAGTTTATCGACTTTTCCTGTGTGAAAGTGGCTGAGCCAAAACGGGCGGGGTTTGCGAGACCAGGCCTGTTCGTTGAGACTCGAGAAGAATATGATATGATATGATCTGATGTTTCTTACCGTTTCCTTGGTCACCAACTACCTAGTCCATTATTCTCCATGTGTCGTGTATGTGACTATCCAAAACAGGTCAGTAATAAACTTGGCTACCCGCGGGTTTTGGCCCCGGCGGACCGTCTCTGTAGGGCGTGGACCGGGCCGACAGTGAGAATTTCGCAGAGAGTGAGATTCTGTTAGTATATCTAATGATTAATAATAATTGGACCATGTGCGTTGGTTGTTGAGTGTCCAGTTCTAGTAAACTGCTCGCAGCTGCAGTGCCATGTCCCCTTCATGTCTGTCTCACAGTGACAAAAGTTGCACTATTATATGATACATGTACATGTATCATAGGTAAGCTGATGACTGCGCATTGTGCAAATACCTCTCTTTGCGGCTTTACTTATTCCAAGCGTTTCTCTACATGTTCCAGTCATTGCTCAGCCAAAACCTGCACGTCACCAGATGCGGCTCAGAGAGATCGACATTAGAGTGACCTTCGACCTCCCTCACGACTCAAACAGCGCATATGCAGGCCGCCAGAAGAGCGTGAGAATCTTCCCATTAAGGCAAATGCGCGTCCTTTAGCCCGTGTTGATCAGCTGTGCAGGCATGGCCAGTGTAACAAGGACATACACATAAGAAATGACAGGTCTCACTCGCACGGAGATAAATATAAGAAAAGCGAAAACCTCGATCTCGATCTCAAGTGACCAGGATACTTGGAACTTTAGGAGAGGCTTGGCAGGCTCATGGACTTTATACCCTCACTACAGGCCTCAAATGTTCAATGCACCCCAACGGCTCGGTCCCGAAGCTTTGGAGGCGATGTACAATAGAGGCTAATAAAGAGGGTGTGAAGAGAGGGAGGGAAAGGGCCAATATTTTATCCATTTGTGGATATAACTGCCTCTAAAAAAGCCAAACAACTTCGGCGAACTTTTTGGGTCTTTTTAGTTTAATTTTTTACCACGTGAGTAACGGTCTTGCAGGTGTGGATATGTCCAGTTTTTTCCAACTCTAGCTTGAGCCAATTGCTCTTTTATTAGTCGCCATTGGAGGAAAACGTTCTAATGAGGCGAAAAAGATGATGTGCTTGTTTCGGCATGAGAATTGCAACTTCATTACTAGCGGGTGTGGTTACACGCATCTCATGTTCAAGGGACGAGAGTCATGCCTCACACCAAAAGGCAATGCAATGCAATGCAATGCAGAGAGTGAGAGACATGCTCTACGTCTACATACACACATACACTGCTAGTTAGTTGGTGGGTTGCATATATATGCAGACATCTACAGATGACATACTACAGTACGGTAAATACCTATCATATTGTATCAAGCCTCAACCTCATTGGAGTTGATGACATTTGCATGAATCTTTGCAAGGAACATGGCAGAAATAGCTGACATCTATCACCTGCACCATGCATACTTACACTATCGAGTCGGTGGAGGTCAAGACAATAACGATCGCCGGCTAAGACGTCGCCGCTGAGTCAGTCTGCACATGTAAGCAAAGAATCAGCTCGTTCAAGCATTCGATGCCTCTACAACAGCAGCTGATCTCATAACTACGTGGCCATATGCACAATCATCAAACTCGCATAGATAAACTTGTCATGTGTCGTTTGGTGTCGTTTCGTGTCGAATTGGATTTCAATGACTCTATCAATATGATGTGAACATAATTTTCTAAACTCCCCAACATTCCGAGGCTTCCGCCTCCAAGCCCAGAACCAGACACCATATGCGTACGTACGCAGACAAGTCAAGGCGTACGTACGTGTACGTGACCGACATATGATGCATTCAGAAAACTCCGCGCTGGGTATTCCATGCGCCTCATCGATGACCTGCAAGGAATCAAATAGCTACACAGTAGCCAATCTCGAAAAAGACGTTGCCTCGCAGCGAGAATCTCGCCTCAATAAAAATCTCCAAACGGCCATCCCCTTAGAAGAAGAACAAGGTATCATAAGTGAAGTGAAGAATAATTCATGTCTGTCAAGGGACAGGCTGGGTCGTGTAACCAAGTGGTTTTAATGCATCTAGAAGAGAGCAACCATGACAGCGACCATGGCAGCACCGACGAAGCCTGAGGAGGCGATGAGGCCACTGGCACCAGCAGTAGGCACGGTGGAAGGGCTGGGAGCCTCATAGCCAGGGCTTCCAGGAACATCAGTGCTGCTGCCAGGGATGGGGAGCTTGGTGGTGGTGTAAGAACCAGGAGCAGTAGGGCCAGCCTTGGTGGTAGTGTTGCCAGCAGGGTAGAAGGTGGTCTTGGCAGAGGGAGCCTTCTTGGTGGTGCTGATGGTAGGAGTGCTGATGATAGTGGGAAGCTCGTGGCTGGTGGTGTTGACAACAGGCTCGTAGACGCTGGTGGTAGGAGGAACGTAGACAGAGGTGGTGGGAACCTCGGGCGCAGCAGTCGAAGTGGTAACGACAACCTCGGTCGAGGTTGTGGTACGGAGGGGGCAGTCGGTCACAGTAGGGTTACACTGAGTAAGAGTGATAACCCGGGTAGTGGTCGAGGTGAGTGTTGTGGTATCCAGAACAGGAGCAGGAGGAGCGTAGTCCTGAGCAGCGGCGACCGAGGCGCCAGCGGCGGCAATCATGATGCTAGAGAGCTGCATGGTGATGGTGATTGTTGGTGGTTTGAAAAAAGAACTGTGGTGGTTTCTTCCTAAGATATAGCAAGAGATTCTTGATGCGTTGAGCAGAAAAAGACTGTAGGTTGCAAAGCACAAAGAATGTTATCAAGAATCGTTTAATGAGTGTATAGCACAAGGCTGGAAGAGTGATATCGTGAAAACAAGCGCACTTGAAGAGGTAAACAAGAGGAAACCAAGCAAGGCGCCTGGGCGGATACCGAGCGCAACTTGTAGTTTTCGCACACACACTGCGGGACTTAATCTCTGTCCATTAAAGACCATCCATCCATTCGCCTGTCCATAGTTAGGTACCCTTGCCTGTCTAGCAGTCAGAGCCCTGGTGCGTTGTCACCTCATTAGCCCCCAACTTGATTGGCATTGTTCCCCGTACCGTCCCTGGAAGTTTATGAGTTAGCCCCGGCATTGGGTCCAAATGGTTTTCGTCAGTACCACCACACAACGGTACCTTGCATTGCAGTCATGAATGTGGACGGTGATTGGATCCAAAGGCAGCCTAGAACCCGGTTGAGGATCCGGCAGAACCTTGGCTACTGCGCTTTTGAATGGCTTGTTCCTGAGCTAGAGTGCTTACCCCGGTCTAGCTCTATTCTGGCCTCTGCTCCCTGCAAAAGGAAGCATCGGTCACTGGCAAACTGTCTTCGGTTGCATATCCTCGGCCAATCAAAGCTTGCCAGGCTTGCAGGGACGTGTTTTGCTGGAGCCAGCAAAGAACTTCTATTTTAGCATCTCCCCTTTTGCGTGGTTTGTTGTGTGTATTGACCAACTAACTGTCATTGCTGTAGAAGTCGGTGTGGGTTCGTTGCCATGCAACCTTGTGTCGACAAAGCTGTCAGTCTAGATGAGTCAAGAGAGACAAAGAAGAAGAGAAATTTTCAGACCCAATATCATTGTGCAACTCGGACTGTGCTCTGTAATGCGACCAAACTAACGGAGTTAACTGCAAAATTCGGTTGCATCGCTTGACACACAATTTCCCGGACCCATGGCGAGGACCAGAGCGTCTCATTCAACGTCCCACGATGCAGCGGCGTGGGCAAGGTTATGAAACAGCTTGCTACAGCGCTTCCGACGAGGGGATTATTCCGCCACGGGAAGATAGGCTGGTGGTGAGAGGAAAGGAACTGCAAACCCATCTCAGACAAAACCCTCGTGGTGACTTGGCTTTGAGTGCCTTCAGAGACAGTCACAGATGCTTCAGTTAAAGTGCGTGCACAAGGCTTGAAACACTTAAAAAAAAAACACCTCCAGATCTTGAACTCGCAAGCTGGCGCCGCCCACGGATAACGGCAGCCACACCGAAGACCACGGCCTAGTCCAGATGAAGGGAGAATGTCTAATTGGCTGTTAAGGGGTAGGCCCTTGGTTATTGCGAGCGGCACGACTTGAGCCAGACTGGTACAATGCTGGATCTGCAGCGGCTGTTGTCGCCAATGGAATAGTCCTGGCGCAGTGACTTGGTACACCGCATCCATAAGAGAAATAGATATCATGCAAAAGAGCGGCGACTAGCCGATGGTACTCTAATGATAGATCTCGACTGCCACTCCAAGTCATGCCAAGATGCGACTATCATCTGCAGTGTCGATAAAATAGATTGAGAGTGGGGTTAACACGAAATTGTCGTCCTCTGAGGCGAAGGATAACATGGCTTCCTTTGCTAATAGTTGTTGTTGGAGGCCGGGAGACGCGGATAGTTGCTGGTGCAGACGGGTACGCGGCTATCTTTAGCTCGATGGCTTGATCGAATTGAGGATCGCTTGGTCTCAAGTGGAAGATAAAGGAGTTTCAGGACATATCACGGGCAGTTGGACACTGCCCTTCGCTGTCCATGCGTTGATAGTGGACGATTCCGAATCAAGATGGCGTCCCCGTCAGTAGCGGCCAACAAAGGACGGACAAGCCCCAGGCCTAGGTAGGGGCATTCTTTTAAGGGGGGGTTCTTCTCAGGGGGGTTGATATCAATTGTTGATGATAATGGAGAGAAGGACATTCTGAGGAATCAAAGAGACAAAGAAAGATGAGAAGAAGAAAAACAAAAACAAAAACAAAAACAAAGGAAAGTAAAGGAAGAACTGACGACATGGTGGAGAATCTCTTTCTCTTCTTTCATAATGCAGTTCAAACAGCCTCACTATAACATCATATCACTAACACGAGATGTGTATCAGCCACACAAACGATACATGTACATTTCAGTCACTGTATTGTCTGTTTCTGTTTCTGAGAGTATTGCATCTTTCAGTTGGCGACTCCCGTCATCGGCAGTCAGAAAAAGAATCACCAAACACTTTTCTGACATCTAATGTAGTTCGAAACCCTTCTCATGCATTTTTATTTCCACTAAAGCACCCTCATGCATTCAGGAGATCCTCCTGCAGCAACAGTTCCAAATGCCCCGCCCCCGCATCATGCCTCCAACTGAGTCTCCAAGTTGGAGCGCTATAATTAAGGAGTTCGGTTCCCCTATAGGTTTCTGGGCGTCCAAGTACTCCGCCTGGTATTTTATGAGACACAGTACCTTGCGACACCTTATGCTTACGTAGCTGATGAGGATAGCTCCATTACCCCTACTACCGTTCCATTGCTTTGACAGTTGTCCAGAGAAACCCAACCGCATTCCATAACTCCACCAGATAATGCGAATACCCTGACGAACAACTCACACACACTCTCTACTAATCAAATCAAACCATATCAAACTCTTATTTAATATTTAATCCAAAATGACCAACCTTTTGACCGACCCCGCCCTCTTTATTTTCACTTCTTTGACAGCTGGCTCGTCCCACATCGTCACGGCCACCTCACGTCTCGAGACCATCCTACGCGCCAACCGGGTTCCCTTCAAAGCCGTCGACATTGCCGTCGACACCAAGGCTCGTTTGCTATGGGGCCGAAGAGCCGGTAAAGACAAGAGCGGTCGCCCGAGGAAACTTCCTGCCCTGGTTCAGGAGGGCTGGGTTCTGGGTGTACGACAAACATCCCCTTTAGTACTACCATGGCTCGTATAGCTGATGCATGTCGCTTTCTGTAGGACATTGTTGAAATCGAAGAATGGAACGAATATGGCGAGCTCAAGGAGCATGTCACGATTTACTTCGACGAATTCACCATCCCCTCCATCAACGATAAGCTTCCCGAGCCCCCGCTGAAACGGCCTATCGACCTTACCGGCGGCCTTCTTGCTTCCATGACCCCTTCGCCTGTCGCAAAGGCTGTAGCAGCTGCTGCCGCCAGCGCCGCTGCTGCTCCAAAGCCTGCTCCTGCTGCGCCTCCGCTACCGGCAACCAAGGCCGCTGCATCTTCTGCCACACCGAAGGCTTCCACAGAACCTAAGAAGGAAGAGAAGGCCCTACCTGTCCGATCCGTCGCCGACGAAGCTGCGCAAAAGGCTAAGGAACTTCGCCTGAAGACTCTGCGAGAAAAGGTCCATGGTAAGGATGGGGCGAAGGCTAAGAAGGAGGACACAAGCGCAAAGGAGACTGGGAAATCTAAGGAACCAGAAACTCCTGTCGCAAAGACCGATGGTATCCAGTCACCGACATCCGGTTCATGGGCCGAGACGGATGCAGGACGAAACACTATTCAGAGTCCGACAAGTGGCACTTGGAAGGAAAGCGGCCCAGGTTCAATCTCCTCCTTGAAACGAGCCAGTGTGGAAGTGAGCCCAGACGAGGCCAAGGCTGTGGAAGCTAAGACGGCCATAAAGGAAGAGCCCGAATTGGAAAAGAAGGCTGAGACAAAGTCGGACGATGATGATTCGGACGACGATGAGGAGGAGACCGAAGAGGAGGACACTGATGAGGATAGTGATGAGGACAGCGAAGACGATGAGGAAGACGAAACAGACGATGAGCAAGAAGAAAATAAAAAGCCTCTAGTGACGCCAGAACCCGAGGCGGCGGCAGCAGCAGCACCTGCAGAAGCTGCCAAAGATGACAAGCCTAAAGAAGAGCCCGAGGACATCAAGAAAGAGATCAAGAAAGACTCTCACAAAGACTCGAAGAAAGACCTTAAAAAGGACCACAAGAAAGATGTCAAGAAAGACACCAAGAAGCCAGTCAAGAAGGATGCCAAGAAGGACACCAAGAAAGACGTGAAGAAAGACCCGAAAAAGGATTCCAAGAAGGATCATAAGAAGGACTCGAAGAAAGATACCAAGAAAGAAGTCAAGAAGGACGCCAAGAAGTAAGAGCGATATGAGCAGAACGAATCAAGGAATTTTGCTTCAATGTTGGTTCTAGTCAGATGGGGAAATAATAGTGTACAGAGTCTAGTCAAACTCAACCGATATACCACCATGACATTAATAACAAGAAATACCCAATCTCCCCTCAAACACTCAATATACAAAAAATGCTATATAATGCCGTAATGGTCCATCCATCCCCAACTAATATAATCCATCGTCATCGCTGGCTGTTCCATCTTGGAATCCCATAGGTGCCTTGCCCTTACCCTTAGATCTGCCATTCATGTCATCCACCTCGTCCTCTTCATCAAATTCGTCGCCGCTCGTCAATGCGATCGCTTTGCCTTTGCCCTTGCTCGATCCTGAAGCAACCGCCTTGCCCTTGCCCTTGGATGATGTCGACGCCCCTGAGACAACACGTTGGACTGGAGGTGGTTTGTTTTCCGGCTCTTTCTCTCGGACTCCCTCGAAGGTTGCCCGGACGTGTTCATAGTGAGCCAGTTCGCCAGCACTGACACTGGGCACGAGCTCATCGTTAGCCGCCAGGAAGTCTTCTTCCTGAACCATAACGGCAATGTCTTCAGGGGTGGCGTAGTGATCAAAATAATATGCCGTGGAAATGGGATGTTGGGTTGCTGGATCGGAATTGATGGCGCGAATCTTGTTGTCCACAGCTGTGGCTTGCCGTGTAACGGCTTTCAGCATTGCATCACTGCAAAGGGCATAGAAATCGGCACCGGTATATGTGAAGGGGAGTTTCTCTGCCACTGAAGCGAGGGATACTGATGGATGAAGTGTGAATCTGCAAATAGGTTAGCCACTGTTGCTGTATTAGAGGAAGATGGTATCAACTCACTTTCTGGTCAGAGCTTCCAGAATGGTTTGCTGCTTGTCGTTGGTGTCAGAGACACCAAGGTAAAGCATTTTATCAAATCGACCAGGTCGCAAAAGGGCAGGGTCCAAAAGATCTGGTCTGTTGGTTGCTCCAATAACGAAAACACCGCCGCCGCCGCCATCATCACCTCCAGACATACCATCCAGTTCTGCCAGAAGCTGGGAGACAATACGGTCCATAACACCACCACTGTCGCCTTGGTTGCCACGCTTGGGTGCCACTGAATCCAACTCATCGAAGAAGACGACGCAAGGTCTAGCATCGCGAGCACGTTGGAACACGCGTCGAACGTTGGCTTCGGACTCTCCGATATACATGTTGAGAAGCTCTGGTCCCTTAACACTGAAGAAGTTGAGACTGTATTCAGTAGCGATCGCCTTGGCCAATAATGTCTTTCCAGTTCCGGGAGGACCGTAGAACAGAATGCCTGATCGCTTCTTCATACCCTTCGCAAACAGCTCAGGGCGCTCGAGTGGTAGTTGAATGGTCTCAGTAACGGCTTCTTTGACGTTGTTGAGACCACCAACATCATCCCAGGTAACATTGGGGATCTTGGGTGCACCGATAGAGTCAGAGAAGTTCTTGCGAGCAGCCTCGACGGCAATCTCAAAATCCCCCTTGGTAAGACAGCGGGCAAGAGGGCCACCAGCGACTTGCACATCTCGTACCGTGATAATCGTGTTATCATGCGTATTCTTGGCTGAGAGCTGCTCCAGTCGTGACTGTTGAGCGATAGAGGCACGCTCAACAACATCAACCAAGTCTCCAGCCACAAGTGCAGCAGTCTTGAGAGCGATTGAGTTGAGGTCGATCGAAGGCTCGAGGCTAACACCCCTATCACTAATGATGGATTTCAGAATAGACTCACGCTCCGCTTCGTCAGGGGCTGTCATTTCCAACTCATGTGTGAACAAGGCTCGAACGCCATCGGGTACTTTATCGACCTCATTCGTTGTGGCAATCAAAACTCGTGTATCTTCTAGAATCTCCTTGATTGTTGATTCGATGCGATCAGCAGTGAGTGCCTCGACGTGCTGAACAAGTAAAGCACAACAATCAGGACCACAACTCATGGCACGTTCGGCTCTCGTCCTGAGAAAACCCTCAGTTTTCACATCGCTTCCACTACCGCTTCCCTCGCTGAGTATATCGTACGCGTCGATTTTATATGTATGAAGACCCATGTCGGAACAAGCGCCTGACGCTAGAGTCAACTTTCCAATATTTCGATGTGTTGACGTTAACAGAATTGCGACAGGAGGCATCTTCAAATGAATCGCTCTAGCGCTAGTGGCTGCTGCGATCAACTCCCTCAACTGGCGCCTGAGAGGTGACACATATGGCAACTCGGGCTCCTGAATTGGAGCAGGGGTCGACTCCGATGCCTTCTTGGGTGTCTTCTTGAGACCAAGGTAATATTGCCATGTGCTCTGCTTGATACCTGGTATGCGACTTGTTTCGAAGCCTGAACCATGCATTGCAACAGATGAACTATCAATACACGCAACTGATCCCCAGAAAGCCTCGGCACTTCCATCTTCGTCCTCATCAGCTTTCTGGATTTGAATATGTCCAACTTTGAACCATGCTACGCTGTCGAACTTAGAAGGTTGCTTTCCTCCCTCCTGTCCACCAGCAGTGAGTGCCATCACATCGTCCACTTCGGATCCTCCTGCGCCAGGCATCTCCTGGAGCGTACGGCCAAGCTCAGCGTCGACTGGGACAGCGATAAGATCGCCGCTTCGAACAAGGCGAATTTTGTGTGCGAAATACCGTTTGAGGCCACCCAGAACGGCGGTTTGGAAAGCTCGCTCAGCAGAGATAGGAGTTCGAATGTGGTGAATAGTGATATCCCGAGCGTAAGGGGGGCGAGCTGCACTTGTAAATCGAGGGATTGTCCCCTTGCCTTGATACGACGCCTTTTTTAAGGGCGCAAGACGCAGATAGGGTGCATCGTCTAGATTGGCCAAGAGGATAGGTGAGGCGTAGGCCGTGGGGCTGGCGGGCCGCTGAATCTGGGATTCGAAGAAAGACAATCTTCTCTCGCCATGCTTAGCGCTGGGTATTCTGGTCATTGGCCGTTGCGAATAACCCTCAGGAAGACCATAGACTCGGACGGGTCGCCACTTGGCAGGCTCTGACTCAACTTGTCCAAAACTCCCGAGGCCAAATGCACCAAATCCATTCGCAGGGGGTTCCTCTGCAGCTTCTATTCGTACCCAATCTCCAGAAAAGCATCCAATACGGCTCAGCGATGTCACATCGACATAGATTCGCGCTTCCTCGTCGTCTTCTAAGGATGGCTTCGGATGTAAAAGGTCTGTCGGAATTTGTTCCATCAGACCCTGTGCCTTGAAGAGACGACCTCGAGGTCGGTCTGGTCGAGCAGTGGTCGCGGTGAAATTGGAGAAAACGGAGCCAGGCGTTGCGATTCCATTTGTTTTCCTGCCACGAAGTGTCCCAACCGTCATAGGCGTGCCTGGCTGTAGTGTTGATACACCGCTGGCATTGGTAGTGGGCAAGGTTGGCGCTTGCAAAGAAATCATATCGTCCATAGAATCATCTGATAGTTCGTCCTCATTGTCGAAATCAGACATATCTGGCTCGGTTTCGGTCGCAGACTCCACATCCTCGGTCGTCATTCCTGACTTATCGCGATCCTCAGCTGCAGAGTAGAACTGGTCGTTGCTGGTATCATCCTCATCCTCAGGTACACCATTAAGCTGTTGGCTAGCGGTCATCGAAGCAACGCGACGTATTTGCTTGGTATGGACACGACCGCGCATGAGAATGATCTTGGTTGACTCCGTTAAAACACCTTGAGCAACAGGCTCGCACAGCATGATCTTTCCGGGGTTCGGAGGCACGTGTGTAAGAGGGTGCGGCGGAAGAGGAAGTGGAAATAGATCGCCTGCGTGTACAACCTTTAGACTGCTCAGGGCAGCTCGAAGAGAAGTCACAAGGCGCCCATCCGGAGTTGAATCGGCTCCTTTCGCCTTGGAGCTGGCAGGGTGGTCTCGGAAGAAGGTACCCTCCCCATTCTCCAGTCGTTTCGTCAGCTCACTCTCGAGGCTCACAAAGACGGTCTCGAGAGGAACGGGCGCCACGTCAAGCACGAGGATCTCGATTCCGCCGCGGCTGTGACTTGATAGCTTGGATGGCGCGACCTGTTGTAACGTCACGGCAAAGCTTTGTAGGGAAGCAGAAGACGGTGAGAATCGGACGGTCGAGGGCGCGAGTGCAGAAGACTCGATAATGGGTACAATTGACCATGGACTGTCGGTAGGGTTGGCATTGGGTATCCACGGAGCGATCGCAATGTGGTGGACGTCTTCGGTAGCGCCTTGGTAGAGTTGAGCTGAGATTTCGTTCTAGCATTGACTTGTAATGAAAGATGTGCTTCACTTACCGTTACCTAGATGGGGGAAGAGATCTCGAAAGATGTCTTCGGATACTATGCCGACATCGCTCTTGATATGATCGTCAAGCACCAGTTTTGCCGTAATGGCAGGCTTGTCCTGACGCCGTCTGCGGTTCCTCCGCCTGTTTGAAGTCAAAGCTGGCTTTGAAGAGGACGCCATCTTAAGAAGGAGTCAAGCTTGAGGGAATGTGTTAAAGTTTGCGGAGGACGATATTGTAACAGGAAGCTCGAGGCGCAAACGCGGGGATCACTGCATTGCTTTGGGAATCCTTCAATTGGTAAAATCGCAAGGTCTGGACAAACAAACAAGAAAGAGCAATCTCGAGTATACAATTGCGCGTAAACAAAAAAAAAAAAAGAAACCCCAAGGGGATGAGGATGAAGCTACTGACTGTGAGGTTGAGATTAAGAAATTGGAGGTGGCTTTGGAGCTCGGCAGCGGCTCAGAGCGACCGAAGCAGCAACAGTGGCCTGCCTCGGCTTCTCCCAGCTTTGGCTAAGGTTGGTAGGTGCTACACGGGGTCTCTGCCGCTCCGAGATACGTACCGAGACCGAGAAGCCCGTGAGGTGCCCCGAACGCGGAGAGCGTGCGCAACAGCAAAAAAATAGAAGATGCCAAATGGAAGTAAACTCGTCAAATAGTCCCCTAAGCTAGAAAGATACCTCGTCTAAGTCTTTTTGTCACCTTGGATGAAGATTCTACCCAATTTTTCCTTCAGTCTGCTACCAGCACCTACCTAAATCTACAGGCGGGTATCGGTCAGCAACTCCAGAGCCCAGCGTCTCCAGCGTCTCCAACCTGGGGTAAAAAGCCAAGTCCAGGGTTGGTCGATTCGTGGCGAGACCCTGCAACGCTTCAATTGGAGAAACGAAGCACAGCGCAAGATCAACAGGAGCTGAAAATACTAAGCTTATCTTACATGAGGAATGACACAAGCGGCATTGGATACTTGATCCTACTTTGTTCAGGTCTAACTTATTCAAGTATATTTAGTATCAGCAACATGTAGACGAAAACGAAATCATATATCATGGACCTCTAGGTAATCGTTTAAGACGCCAGACGCGAATACGGTCTTATCATTTCCCCAGTTGTATAAGCAAGCAGTACTCAGATAAAGAATGTCACACGCATCATCAATTCTTGGCCGTTGGCAGTGTCTATTGCGGCATGATCATCCAAAACATACAGTACAGTACAGCTGAGAACGCAAATTAGATGATCTCTTAGACCCCTTTTGACAGCCTTCACATGCTTTTCAGCAAGGATCATTGCTCATTAAAGTCGCAGTCCCGCCACAAATCCGGCTGTCTGGCCAAAACTCTGCTTCTATCGACTTCCCATGACGCAACTCCATCTTATTAGCGACCATTCACAGTTGATTGCCCTGTCACTTCCCATGATTAAACATTGCCGGCCTGTTTGATGAATTTGAAACGGCGTTTACCCTTCTTTCTAACCATCACAAAAGAAAAGGCTCGGTCTAGACTGTTTTGACAGTTTCTCATCATCACGCCAGTCCCTGATACACCGCATAACAACCGAGACTCAAGCCAACAATCGGTATGTCCGTTAAGTGGAATATTGGACGTACACCATCTGATCTATTCTCCTTATGATCCCACCCTCTTTTTATCGATCCTTGACCTGTTCTTGCATTGGCCATCTCCGTCCTGGATTTGTATCTCCGTAATCCTTTATAATCAATCCCCTTTCCGACATGCGGATTGTTTCTTGAACGGTAGATCTCCCTTCCAAGGCGCATCTCAAGGCCGGCAGTCGTCCAATCGCTCGACTACCACTACCTAGGTACTTGTTCTGCACAGCCATAGCCATATTATCATCTGGTATCTACACATTCTCTACTGGCCGAGTCGGTCATCATAATCCATAATTGCATAGAAACTATGACACAACAACAACATGGCTCGTCAACTGCGACGGAGGAGCATCACCCAAAAGTTGTTGGCAAGAAACTCGCCGAGACAGCCGTCCAATTCACACAACAAGCTGAGAAGCTCTCACACCAACACCCAACAGGCGAAGACCCCGGAGTTGCAATTGAAGCACAATTTGTCACGCCCCATGATCCTGTCATCATCACTTCAGATGGAAAACGACTCCCGGGTGTGCCATTGCAGGAGGCGCATAAGCTCAATGTCCTGAGGGAAGAGCTTCAAGGCAAGCCTGAGAGTGTCGAAATCAAAGCAGGGGATGAAACCAAGGAGAAGATATCCAACATCGAGAAAGCAAACCCCGAGCAAAAAAAAGTTGTTCAGTTGCCTTCGGAACAGAATGGCGCATCTCTACAAAAGTCCAACAGCAACAGCACATTGCGAAAACAGACACCCCCTTCTCATACCAATCCTCTCTTCCCTCCACTGCCGCTCTATGGACCTCCAAATATGCTGCGCAATCTTCAATGCATGTTCTTTCGAATCAGCGCATTCTTTCTCAGCCTGGCATTTCTCGGAGTTATCGTCTTGGGCTCATTGTTTACGACGACGCCCATGATCTGGAAGAATATCTGGTACCGGTTGACTTTTCGCGATCCTGATTCTGATAGGCCGTTCTATGAAGAGGAGAAACGTAGAGCTCAAGCAAGACACGAGCAAGAAAAGGCTTGGAAGCAAAAACCATCAAATGGACGAACGCTAGACAGGATGGAAAATGCTGAGGAATTCCCACCAACCGAAGGCGGACCAGACCCAATCATCTGTGACGTCGCATATTATGCGCGCAGGGTTGGTCTAGATGTTGAGACATTTGAGGTTCAGACCGAGGATGGATTCATCATCGACTTATGGCATGTTTACGACCCCAAGGAGTATACTGAACTCGAGGAAAGCCTGAGGTCTGATCTGGGGCCGGAGGTATTCCAACCCCAGAGGAAGAAGCTCAAAGACCCATCACAGAAGCCAAAGTTCCCCGTGCTGCTCATGCATGGTCTCCTACAAAGCTCGGGTGCTTATTGCTGTAATGATGACGACTCTCTCGCTTTCTGGCTGTGCAAGTCTGGCTATGACGTGTGGCTTGGCAACAACCGTTGCGGATTCAAGCCCAAGCATGCACTGCTTGAGTACAGCGACCCGAGGATGTGGTGCTGGAATATTAGACAGATGGGTGTTTTCGATCTTCCCGCGTTGACTTCGCGAGTCATCACAGAGACGGGTTTCGAAAAGATTGGCCTTATCTGCCACTCCCAAGGTACAACTCAAACCTTTGTCGCCTTGGCCAAAGAACAACGACCTGAGCTGGGAGAGAAGCTGACTGTATTCTGTGCTCTGGCCCCAGCTGCATATGCTGGGCCGTTAATCGGCAAAATGTACTTCAAGTTCATGCGAATCATTTCGCCAGGCCTATTTCGTCTCATGTTTGGCATCCATGCATTCATTCCCTTCATGATGCAGATGCACAAACTGTTAGATCCCCGTTTATATGGCTGGCTTGGCTACAAAGTCTTCTCGTTCCTGTTTGACTGGACTGACGTCCGTTGGGATCGTGGCCTTCGCAATCGCATGTTCCAGTTTGCGCCCGTTTACGTCAGCGCCGAGTCTATGCGGTGGTGGCTTGGCCGAGAGTGCTTTGCCAAGCACAAATGTATCTTGTCGACGAAAGAGATTGTTAGGGCTGAGGAGCACATGGATTCTAAGGGAGACGGACGACCCGTGACGCCAAGGACCTCGTCGGCGCTCGAAGCTCATCGGAAACATCCCAAGGGCTCTACCGCGTGGTACAACAAACAAGCACCACCTATGGCTATGTGGGTTTGTGGTAACGACGATCTTGTTGACGGAAGGAAACTGCTCCGGCGGTTCGAGAAGGGCCGCGAGCCTCATGTCAACCTGGTTCACAGCAAGGTGATCCCTGAATACGAACATCTAGATGTCATCTGGGCGATGGATGCGGTCGATCAGGTTTTCAAAGAAGTACGTGAGGTTCTATGGAAGACATGCAATGCACGCGATATTTGCCGTGTTCCTGAGGGTTGTGAGGCGGTGCTACCAGAAAAGACGAAACTGTCTGTCAAAGAAGATATGGTAGAGGAGTGCCAATCGAGTAGCAGTGGCGAGACTTAGAAAGTGTTCGAAGAGAAATAACGATATACACGAAGCAATACACCGAGATGAAAGACGATTACGGAGATACACGGAACACAAAAAGGATATACGAATTGGAGCATTATGGATTGATATCGTATTACAGATACCTCTGCTTGGTTTTATGAACATCAACACTGTCAGATGATTCGAGTTGAACTTCATTATGGGGCGATAGTGTTGTTTAGATGGCGTTGAGGTTGGTCACATTACGTTGAATACCGAGGCAACGAGTTTAGACAAATCATTTTAATCATGGATTAAGTTAGTATTAGGTGATGTCTCATACTTAATAGTACCTGATCAGCTGCAGTGCTCAGTAGCAACTCTACGACGTTTTTATACCGAAGAAATAAGATCACGGCAAACGAGAAAGCATCGTAGGATGCGGTAGGTGTTTGAATTACCTTATCTTGTACACTAGTCGTATATTCTACAATTCATCGCCTTTCTTAGGTGGATGTTGGGCTCTTTGCCTGTATTAACACAAAGTCATGGTGCGGAACTCATGGTTGAAACCGAATGCACCGATACTTAACCCATGCGTTCAGCCTCCTCCAGCAACTTGTCAACGCTGAATCTTGAGTCGCCAGCTGCGAACCAGTTCAGCAGCTTCTTTCGCTCCTCAGCCCTATCCTTACGCTCACCAGTCAGCTCGACTTCCTCACCATCCCAGCCACCATAGAATCGCTGTAGAGACATGAGTAGCCACTTGGCGTTCTCTGGTGTAACCCCTCGATCAGGCAGGACCTGGCCCTGCATCAAAACCAGACCTCGCTCATCGGCAAGGTCGAGGTGGTGTGTGATGGTAGTGTGAGGCTGCGCAAACTCGCCTCGGTTCTTGTATTCAGCAAGCTGGGTGAACAGAACAGTGCTGGTCTTGGACGCAGCATCAAAGGTCCACTGCAAGAAGTGAATCTCTGCGCCCTGGGCGGGATGAGGCACCGGGAGGACGAACTGAGGTGCTATTCGTGCAGCATCCTCCATGGCCTTGTATGTAGACATAGGGATTACTGCACAGAGATTCTGCTCAGATGAGGCATGTCGTAGACGCCAGAT